TGATCGTATCTCGAAAAATTCATAAGTAGGGGCGTTCGTAAGTAGAGGTACCACTGTACTGACTCCAAACAGTTGGGTGACAAGCACAAGCCACCAGAGATATTGCTAGAGTGATCAAAATGTCTTTATCTGATAAATGGGCTTTCTTTCTCTGCCAATGTTACTGGAATACTTATTCTACTTCAGGGAGGTAGGGGGGCGGGGGGAGAGACTATATGTTCTTTTTCCAGAAATCAAAATCTAGGAGAACAATATTCAACCCAGTGCAACACTTCAGCCACTTCTCAAGGTCACGGGGAAAAAACTTCCCCTTTTTACCAGCTCTGCATCTGTTGGCCCTGCCTTCTCCTATGAGCACCATACCCAATGAGAATCTCAACCATCTTCTGTTCCCAGAAATTTACTGGCATAGCACAGAGTCCGGGTGCTGCAGGAGCATGTGAAGAGCCGTGAGGTACTCTTGTGATGAGCAGGCTCATCTCAATGACAATTCAATCATTGGGAAAATATACATGCCTGGTCATTCTTGGTGGCAATCGCCTACCAATCAGGTCCAAAGTTCAGTCAAAGCTGGTTATGTATTGCTACCTAATTATGCTACATTCCCTTGTTACAGCTACCTAGTTACTCTATGTTCCAGGGGGCAAACCTCCTTTAAAATGGATAGTATTACTTCAAAATGCTTTCATTTGTGTGACAAAATAAACATGGGAAGTACTCACATTTTTCTTGCCCACAAGCAGGAAGTACATGAGTGTACAGAAGACTGAAGTCCCAAACATTTCCTAGATGTCCTTTTTTTAAAATCCAAGAAGTGTATTAAGCACAGGATCTAAAGCTAGGCTGGTGTCAGTGACCAAAAATTAAATATTTCACATCCAATCTCTCATCCCACTTAACTCATTATGTACTGTTTTGCACCTGCTGAAATGAGATTTAAAGTAATATTCAGACTGGACTTGCCATCAAATCTCATTTTATGGTAAAGCAAAATTCTATGCTATGTTTGAGGGTCTTGCTCAAGGAAAACATTAGTACTGTGGGAACTTAAGGGAAATGGGGAATATATATTGATATTGACCAGCAACACTTCTCACGAGGCTTGCAATTTGCTGCCACCACAACCACAGCAGTTCTGTGCTGTTTAACAGGAAGCGGAAGGGAAAGACAAGGTGTAGGGATGGGTGGCTGCACCAATGACTATCCAATGCCTAAAGAATCAAAGAATAAGCAAACTCAAGAGTTCCTTTTCTCAAGCTTCTTTTACAGAAACAGGGAGGAGAGAAATGCAGTAGTCCAGACAGGCATAAAAATTATTTCTGAGCAGCAGAAGGGCAGTTCCTGCAGTGAAATGTCTCACAAAATGGAGGTCAGAGGTTACATTAGTTGAACAGCCACTGAGTCATCTGATCGTAAGGAGCACAGCTCACACAGGACAAGCAGTATTAGCAGACTGAGGTTGGAGAAGGAGGGGACTTGCTTGCTCTCACCACTGGAGGAGCAGGTCAATCTACCTGCACGTGATCCCTTCCCCCTTTGGAGAATTTGTTCCTCTTCGAGCTTTTCCTGCAAAGCTGATGTGAGAGGGGCTAAAAGCTTTCCGTTTCCCCCTTCATCTTAAGCTGAATTTGTTTTACAAAATTGCACACCCCGAGATTCTCAGCATTCTTGTCCTTCTGCTGCAGAGTTTCTCCAGTACGGAAAGCAAAGGGTAGCAGAGTCCATCCCTTTCCCAGCATCACCAGCGTCTCTGCTC